TCGTTCGGTTATAATGTAGATATTTTAATTAATAATCCGAACGAACTTTTAACCAACCCAATAATTTAATGGGAAAATTAGCAGCAAATTCCCCCGTATGGTGCAATTCAAAGTGATAATGTAGCTTTAATTATTAACGATAAGAATACAATTATGGTCGTCAGCAAAAGAGACAGCCCACGGTGTGAGATACATAGTGGGAACGTCAAAATCAATCAAGGAAAGAAATTTAACTATCTTGGGTAGTGTCTTTAAAAGATGACGGAGTGTGTGACAGAGATACGAAGACGCATTGAAATAACGAAAGATGTGTTCCATAAACTAATTAAAGTATCAAGAGACAGGAAAATTTTGACTGCTGGGTAATATGAATTTTATAATATGACAGTGAATGCTGGACAATTTTCTCACAGATAAAGAGAAAACCTGAAGATGTGGTTCTACTGAAGGATATTGAGGATACATGGATTGGACACAAAATAAGGAAGGAGAGCATGGAGAATTCAACAGTCACAGGACAGAGGATAAAATGCAATTAACCTACCAAACGAGTTTATGTAAATAGACGGTAGAGCAGATACTGATGGGTACGGTAAGACAAGCGCTGTTTAAAGCCACAAAAGACATGTTGTGAAGAGCCATGATTGCCTTTGTCTCGAGGGACACAGTAGATAAAAGAACTACGCCATTGGATAACTGATGACGTTATGGACTGACATAATAGATGATGTCTGGGGAAATTGACGTAACTGATGACGTCAATAGAATAAGTGACGTAAGTGATGATGTATGTCATGGAATAACTAGCACACTGTTACATGTAAACACCATCTTATTGCTGCTTTAGGAGAGAATTTCTCATCTGTCGCAAGTCGTACCAAACATTGTAAAACCAAGAGGGTATGGTTAAAATTACTTAAAATTAATTTTTATTTCTTTGCAATTCCTTCTTTGCATGTGATCTTTTACGCGTGCCATGTACAACAAAACCAACGCGGGGTGACTTGTCCGGCCGGGGAAACACCGAGGGAGGGCCCCGGTGTATGTTTAAAATAGGATTGCAACTTTCCATTATATAGGTTTGGTTGGTTGATTTTGTTTAGCGGCATATCAACACCTCTATTGGTTATTTATTCCCGAAATCTAAATATTCAAAATAAATAAATAAATAAATAAAAATAAATAAATAAAAAAGAGAAAAAAAGGCAAAAATATTTTTAAGGCGAAACAAAATCGTTATGACAAAGTGGAAGTCGAGAAATGAAGATGGTCAAAAGACACCACACACACACACACACACACACACACACACACACACACACACACACACACACACACACACACATACATACATATATATTCCTTTTTGGGCACTTCGAGGTGGTGTAATGCAAAATTGTTTCGCTAGAACAATTACGACTGAGTAATGAGTTCAGATTCACTGGGTGCCCCTTACTTTCGGCCTTGTGCCAAATCCAAGCGTAGCTTGGAAAATCGCTATACATTTTCCCTTTACCCGTTACGTGATTTAATTATTTCAAGATGAGGTCGACTGTGCTTGCTCTCTGGTGATCCATGTTCAAACCCAAGTGTCTACAGCGACACTTTTTTCCTATATGACAAAAATGAGCATGAATTTTTAGTCATAAAACGACATATGTTACCTTTCTATTCCTTTATCTGTAACGTGATTGAGAAATTCTTTTTTTTTTTCAACTACTTAGTCGCCGTTTGATTCGTGGCATATTTAACTGGGTACATTTTTTATTCCACAGAATATACTCAAAGATGTCCAAGAAAAGGAAATGGCATGATGATTACTGTTGTTTTCGGGTTGCTCGTGAACAACCGAAAAAGATTGAAGAGAAAAACATCAACCCATTTTGCGCTCATTGTTTATTTTCAAATGCAAATTTGAAGACTTCTGAAATCAATGACTGCTTTTAAAAACGGTGGTACAGTAGCTGGAAATGACAAAGAAACATGCAAGGCGGATTGTCAAGAAACTCTACCAAAGGTGGGACTTTGAAGCATTTTTAAAGCTCCTTGAAGCATTCTATAAAGTTGCCTATCAGGTGGCTATAAAGAAAAAAACCCGCCTACAATCGCCGCCGTAGTGAAGCATTGTGTTCCGAACGTTGTCACGATCATTCTGAAGAAAAATGCAAAAAGAATGGTGACTCAAATTGCAATGTTTAACGATATCATCAAGAACAGAATTGTCGGTGTGAGTCATGATATTTTGGAGAAGGTGATCCATGATATCAAGGTGAAGCCCGTGAAAATATCGTTGCAACTGAACGAATCCACGGACGTTGCTCAATGTAGTAAAAGTATTTACTGTTATCCGGTATGTCAAGAATAAAGAAGTCTTAGAAGACATTTTATTTTGTGAACCATTGAAGATTACCTAGAAAGCACACAATTTATTCGACTCCGTAAAATAATTTATGGGAATATGGATAGAATATGAATGTCATTGGCTCAATCGGTACGGATGATGTTTCTCCTATTCTCGGAAATCAGTCTGGAGACACAGCCTCCTGAAAAAAAGGAAGTTTTTGAGTTTCAAATTACGCATTGCTTGTTTCATCGGCATGAATTGGCAGCAAAAACCTTACCAAAATATTTTTTTTAAAGTCTTTCAGCTTGTGTGAAGATTGTTAATTCAATCAGAGAACTGCGTTCGAATCTTCGAAATTTCTCCAAATGCTTACAGATGTTTTTTTCTTGGTTAAATGAACTGAATAGTTCCCTTCAAAGAAGTAATACAAACATTGTTATTGCACATGAAAAGCTGCCCGATTTCAAAACAAAAATTTCTCAGTGAAATAAAGAAAATTGGGCCCGGTTTCCATCCCTGAAGGAAGTTGTTAGGACAGAACAATCTCTGCTCTTAGACGTTTCTATCACCAATACAGATTCATAAAACTGTTGAACGCTTTTGATGGGTATCAGAACCCAGCGATAATTAGATAAGGAACACTTTTTTATTTTTACTTCAAAGCCATACCTAATGACGATCTTTTGAAAGAGACTTCCAGTACGATGCTGCTGCAAAAATGGATTTCGAAGCGAAGACATTGGATAATTTTGAGACATCACAAATATCAACATTTCCAAGCAGTTTTAAGAGAGTGTTTGGTGTTCGTGTTCTATTCACAACAACATCTTTTATAAAACCGGTTTTTCTATTGTCTTCATATCAAAACCAATCAGGTTTACGGCCATATCACGTCAAAACACCGGTTCTCGTACGATAACCAAAGTTAAGCAACGTCGCGTCCGTTCCGTATCTAGATAGGCATCCACTTGGAAATACCAGGTGATATAAGACTGGATATGCGAATGGCAATATCACGTTGAAACATTGGTTCCAGTACGATCACTGAAGTTAAGCAACGTCGAGTCAGTTCAGACCAGTAATTATTTTCATTTGAATATGAGCCATTGAAAGTTACAGAGTTGTTTCTCTTTAATTGTTTTATCAGTAGAAGCCAAGATGGCGGAATACGAAAACAAACGCAGTTATGAAAACTTGGGAATCCAAAGTTTCAGGGTTGTGGATCCTGATCCGGACTGGAATGTTTTTAATTTGCTCACGAAGTCGGCCTGATT